AAAGGAACAGTTCACATTTTAGCCAAATAATATCAGCCAATACTTTTGATGAGAACAAATGAAAAAGAAAATTGGTGAAGTGATAATAACATTGAAAGAGAGATTCTGATAGAAGGCTACGCAAAGAAAGAAAAATGCTGTATCATATGTTGAAAAAACTATTAATTTTGCTAATTGTGTCACAATATTTCATAATGACTGCACGATCTCTGATAAATTAAAATTCCTGCAACAGGAATTTCAAACTTAAGAACTCGATGTTTCTCTTCTATTAGCTGAATAATATTTTTCTTTCAAATCTTGGCGGATTGCATTGTCTGATCGAAATTTAGAAATCAAAACTAACATTCAATATAAATGTCACTGACGAACTACGATAACATAAATGGATGACGAATATATTATTGTTACAACAGACTAAAGTATGAAATTTAAATGACTCGATGTGAAATTTTGCTCAATTATTATTCAAAAACATCCGTTTGATTCCCATGAATTCAGTGAGGAAATAATGGGCAAAGCATGCCGATAAATAAAACAATACAAATATAATTTAGGCCACTACGAATAATAACCTGCGAATGAAATTATTTGCTTTATTAATTTCTTCGTGGCAGCGATATCATTCGCTGTTGTCGTTGAGAACTTCACTGTAGAATATCACGTCATCATGTGGTTTTCATTTGAGTGAATTTCGTGTGGCATTCACTACATTCGAATGGTTGTGAGCACACGTGCACGGTTTTCTTATGCCTTCTCAGATGCTTCCGTGATTGAATTCTTCACCGCATTTATCACATTTAAATTTCCATTTGACTCCGAGTGTCTCTTCCACACAGCTTTGCAGTTCGCCCCGAACTTTGAATACCTCGCTGCATTTATTACATTTAAATTCCCCTTCGCTTCATGCATTATGAGAAAATCCGAAATTAATTTCTAACTATAATCAAGTAATTGCATTCCTTTTAGAGAATTGTATAATTGACAATTTGATAAGGATTTATCATCTGTGAAAAATTAAACGAGCTTTTTACATCGTTGTAACAAAGAATAGTGCGGAGATGCAATGGATAAAGAAAACAGTAAAACAGCCAGACATACAAAAGAGATAAATTCAATTACTCTTATCCTTTGAAAAAAAAAAGATAAAGAGGAACTATTTTTAATTTTCATTTAAAGTATTTTTTAAATTGTTA